CCTCCTCCTCCTCCTCCTCCTCCTCCTCCTCCTCCTCCAGTTGCCTCCTTCTCCTCCTCTTCCTCCTCCTTCAGTTGCCTCCTTCTCCTCCTCTTCCTCCTCCAGTTGCCTTTTGAAAAAAGCACCTTAAAGACAACTATGACCTGGATGACTGAGAATCTCCACAGACACATTAACCGCTCTGTTTTGTCAGATCAGACAATCAAGTTAATTGAGCAAACCATGATTAAGCAACTAATTGAGAAGCAAGATCCCAAGTCTACTTAAGAGTAGATAATGAGGCAGTGTCTTCTCCTGGACCCACCCAGGTCTCCTCAACCTGGTTTTCTCAAGATGTGTTGCATTTTCTTCCATACGTCCAAATTGCAAAATAGTGGCTAAGGATAGTCAAAGTTACGAAGAACCATCTTCAGAATAGCAAGTGAGGACTGAGACGCTGCCCCAGAAGGAACGGGACTCGTCACCTAACCTGATTTGCCAGCTCCTTGACAGCCCAGGATGGCCACGTTGCATTCCTGCAGAAGGTTTGGCGGGTGGCGTTCGCTGGCCCAAGAGACAGCTCGAGGTTTGCTAAACATGGAGGACATCTTTCCACTCTGTGAATAAAACCCAACAATGAATAATTCTGCATTGAAGGGGATAGCATCAAGTTCATGTGAGGTGTTAATACCGCTTTATATTGCTTTGGTAAGACCAGACTAGGGGTATTGTGTTCAGCTTTGGTCACCATGATACACGTAAGATGTTCAGACTATAGAAAGGGTGCAGAGAAGAACAACAAAGATGATTAGGGGACTGGAGGATAAAATATATAGTGGCAGGAACTTGGTATGTCTAGTTTAATGAAGAGAAGGACTAGGGATGACATGATAGCAATCTTCCAATATTTGAAGTTGTCATAGAGAAGATGGCTCGATCTATTCTGCAAAGCACCTGAAGGCAGGACAAGAAACAATGGATGGAAACTAATCAAGGAGAGAACCAACCTAGAACTAAGGACAATTAGAACAATTAACCAGTGGAACAACTTGCCTCCAATAGTTATGGGTGCTCCATCATTGGAGGCTTTCAAGAAGAGACTGGACAGCCATTTGTCTGAAATGGTATAGGGCCTCCTGCCTGAGCAGGAGGTTGGACTAGAAGACCTCCAAGGTCCCTTCCAACTATGTTATTCTGATATTCTTTTCTTTTATGTACACTGAGAGCATTTGCACCAAGACAAATTCCTTGTGTGTCCAATCACATTTGGCCAATAAAGGAATTCTATTCTATTCTATTCTATTCTATTCTATTCTATTCTATTCTATTCTATTCTATTCTGTTCTGTTCTGTTCTGTTCTGTTCTGTTCTGTTCTATTCTATTCTATTCTATTCTGTCATCAGTTCCACTGGACTGATTAAAATGGCACATTAGCACTTCTCTCTAATTCAGGTTTCTGATATTGGCAAAAATTCTTCCATGTCTGGTTTCGGGTGGAGTGGCACAGTCCCAGATAGATCTGGCAAGCAATCTGGGCTTCCTCCTGGTTTCACTTACTAAAAAAATCTTAAGAGTTGAACAAAATTGGCTTAACACGATGCAGGAATTCAGCCACAAATAAATAATTGATGGAATTTAATGTTAACTAAAGTCTCAGCAATTTGGGTTAGAGTTTTCCCTCCCTAGCCACAAATGAGTCAGAATTTCTGAACATTACCAATGGACTCATAAGACAAAATTATAAGTTTTTTTTTTTTTTAAAGCAGCAGCAACAACCCTGGACAAAGCAATAGAAAGACTTGGCAGCATAAATTAGAATAGAATGGAATAATTGGAAGGGAGGGAGTTGAAAGGGACTTCAGAGGTCTTCTAGTCCATCTCCCACTTAGGCAGGAAACTTTATACCATTTCAGACAAATGGTTGTCCAATGTCGTCTTAAAAACTTCCAGTGTTGGAGCATTCACAACTTCTGGAGGCAAGTAGTTCCACTGATTAATTGTCCTCACTGTCAGGAAGTTTTCCCTTAGTTCCAGATTGCTTCTCTCCTTGATTAGTTTCCATCCATTGTTTCTTGTCCTGCCTTCAGGGGCTTTGGAGAATAGCTTGACTGCCTCTTCTTTGTGGCATCCTCTGAGATATTGGAAGATTGCTATCCTGTCACCCTAGTCCTTCTTTTCATTAAACTAGACATACCCAGTTTCTGCAACTGTTCTTCATATGTTTTAGCCTCCGATCCCTTAATCATCTTTGTTGCTCTTCTCTGTACTCTTTCTACAGTCTCAACGTCTTTTTTTTACATCAAGATGACCAAAACTGGATGCAGGAATCCAAGTGTGGCCTTGACCAAGGCATTATAAAGTGGCACTATCACTTCACGTGATCTTGATTCCATCCCTCTGTTAATGCAGCCTAGAACGAAGGTATTCACACAACACTGAAGAAAATTTCTCAAACGGTGCGTTAAATAAAGCAGTACACCATGCTATAAATCTTGGTTTATAGACCACCCAATACAAGAAGCCAAACTCTGCAAATGACAGGATGACACATGGCGCATGCCGCCAGCTCAGGAAACCCTGCCTCTCTCAAGCCACTTTCACTTTGTCCTCTCAAAGTAGAAGAAACCACTCTCTGCATGGAAACTGAGATCGAGAAAGATATGTACATGTATATGTATGTCTTTGGACTAAAAGAGCAACAATTAATTTTTTTCAACGCTCCCTCCCCCACCCCTATTCCTGAGGAGTTAGTCTTCTGGCCTTTCAGTAAATAAATATTGTTGTTGGGAAATGATGATTTGGTTGGGTTCTAGTCTTCCAAGAATAAGAGACATGGCTTCCCCCACTGCTGGCACCCCAAGCAAAATCTATTGGAGTGATGAGGAACTTTTAATGGAAGGACTACTCTTGGTCTCACCAGGCTGGTGAGGCAAGCTCACGGAGCCTTGGCAAAACTTCTCCCCATCTTGGGAAGGTGCAAGTAGAAGTGTCTGTAAAAAATGGTAACTACCCCACCTCCACCAGATTGGTGGCTATGAAGATATGACTGAAGCTTATGTGCATCTTAGAAGTTCAATCAAACCATCACAATTGTTGTTGGTTTTTTACATATCTTGTAAAAAAATGCATGTAAAAATACCTTTTATATAATCTTTTTTTCCACTTCTGGAAAAAAGTAACTCAAGGTGGTTCATTTTGGCCTAAAGGAGGAACATACAATAGAACATAGAGTAGCAGGGTTGGAAGGGATCTTGCAGGTCTTCTGGTCCAACCTTCCGTTCAAGCAGAAGACACTATACCATTCTGTACAAATGGCTGTCCAGTCTCTTCTTGGAAATTTGCAGTGATGAGAACTTACAACTTCGGATGGCAAGCTGTTCCATTGATTAGTTGTTCTAACTATCAGTGAATTTCTCCTTATTTACAGGTTGAATCTACCTCTGACGAGCTTCAACCCATTTCTTCTTGTCCTGCCTTCAGATGTTTGGAGAATACATCAACGCCATATTCCCTATTATAGCCCTTTATTTATTGGAAGATGGCTTCCATGTCAGCCCTGAGCTTTCTCTTCAATAAGTTAAACATATCTAGTTCCCTTATCAGTTCATCTTATGGTTTAGACTCCAGACTCCTGATCATCTTTGTTGCTCTTCTCTGCACTTTTTCTAGGGGCTCACCATCCTTTTTGTATCACGGTGACCAGCACTGGGCACAGTATTCCAAGCATGGCCTCAGCTGTACAGCATAAAATGAGAATATCACTATCACTTATAAACTGACTCTTCTCCACACTAGAGGAAAAAAAAACAAGGAGTTCCATCATTAATTCATAACTGTATCAAGCCTGCAACTTAATGGAAATGGGCCACTCCTGACATTATTCTGCCCATTGAGAAGTCAAGAACAAATCCAGTTCCCATCCTTGGTCAAATTCCAGTGATAAGCATTGAGAAGATAATTAGGGGACTGGAGGCTAAAGCATACGAAGAACGGTTGCAGGAATTGGAGATGTCTAGTTTAATGAAAAGAAGAACTCGGGATGACATGATAGCAGTGTTCCAATATTTGAGGGGCTGCCACAGAGAAGTGGGGTGGTCAACCCATTCCCCAAAGTACTAGAAAGCAACACAAGAAGCAGTGGATGGAAACTCATCGAGGAGAGATCCAACCTAGAACTAAGGACAAATTTCCGGAGAGTGAGAACAATTAACCAGTGAAACATCTTGCCTTCAGAAGCTGCGGGTGCTCCATCACTGGAGGTTTTTAAAAAGAGATTGGACAACCTTTTGTCTGAAATGGTATAGGGCTAGACTAGAAGACCTCCAAGGTCCCTTCTGATTTTGTTATTCTGAGAAGAACGGCACTCCCAATCAACTCCATCTGGTTGACAAAGGTGGAGTGCCTCTGGGCAGAAGAGAGCAGAATGGATCCATCATTCTTGAAAACCAGAGCATTTTCATCAGGTAGAAGGTGACTGGGACTCTGCACATGCCCAGAGGCATGGTTTGCTTTATCATCTCTTGATGGAATTCAGCAGCAATCCAATTTTTGACTCCAGAACATTGCGGCTGTTTGTTTTTAATCACTAGGGCTTGTAACCTGCATCACTGTTTGCCGTTTTGTAATTTTATGGTTTGGTTGTATGGAATGCTACTGCTGTAAACAACTAGGAAAAGAGGAGAGCTGCTTCTTTTTAAGACAATGTAGACATATTTAAAAAAAACAAAAAAAACGAAATAGAGCTCTACTCATTGCTGAGCTCTGGGGTCAAACTTAAATTCCAGGCTCTGTTATAATCCAGGTTTGGAATGGGGCTCTGTTTGGAGCTGAACTACTGATGCGCATCTTTCTTGCTTTAAGCCTTTTAGCACATCTGCTTTTGATTCGGAGAGCCCTGAGTTGGGATAAACACAATTTTGTTCACAGGACAAAAGTCAGAAGGGCTTTTGAACTGTAAGCAAGATAGGTCAGCAGAGAGAAGAAGAGGGGGAAGGTTCCCCCCAATCAAGCAGCCAGAGACAGCTGGGTTTTGTGTAAACTCAAGTAATGTGCTACTGAAGATCAAAGGTAAGAATCCTGCAGAGTTAAACAAAGGGTAGTTTGTACAACATGCTAGTCAGAAATCTGGACGGGTGGGTAACTAAGGCTTCGTGCAGGGATGTCCAACCTTGGCAGCTTTTAAGACCTGTGGATTCTGGGAGTTGAAGTCCACAAATCTTAAAAGTTGGCAAGGTTGGACACCTTCGGCTTAGTGTATGATGCAGATCTGAGTGAGCTGATAGTTTGGTGAGTTGTGTTATCCTTACCAGTTGGGTTAATTTGACTGTAGTTGGGGAAGCCAAGATTTAGGGGATCTTTGCAAACATAGCCCCCAAAGATTTATCAACTTCATCGCGTCGCATTTTTATTTAATACTTTGACCTAAGCACAATAGAGCATGTTTTCCACAAACAACATCCATTCAGGTGTTGTTCTTAGTTGCGAAGTCATGTCCGACCCGTCATGACCCCATAGACAACATTCCTCCAGGCCTTCTTGTCCTCTACCATCCTCTGGAGTAGATTTAAGCTCATCCATCCAGGTAAGTTGATTTAAAAGAACAACTGCTTTCAACTCCCCCCAGGAGCTTCTGTAGGTGAAGAGGGGCTACAACCTGAATCTACCTGCTCTTAGTCCATCAGCTTCTCCACTGGACTTCACAGGCTTGGAGATTGACTGGCCCAAAGTCAACTCATGACCAAAAAGGAACTAGCATCTGGGTCTCCTCACTCCCAATTAAGCATCTTTCCCACTAAACAACCACTGTCTCATTCTCTCATTTAACACCTGCAAGAACCACATCCAATAAATTCCCAGGTAGATTAGGAGCAGATTCCTCCATCAGAATTTTTTGAAACAAAGCTTCTTTTTAGATCAAAATAAGCAGAAAAGGAGCACGTGATCGTATGCCTATTTTGGGTCTACTGCAGTCAGTGGCCCAACGAAGAGAAGATGTTCAAAACCCGGAATGACTCTGGGATTAACATTCCTAGAATTTTTTCTTGTCTCGATTAAACTGATCCATGTGAACCTCTCAAATATTGAAGACGGATCTTCTGCAAGTCTCAGAGCAGGGACATTGGCTCCTTTCCTCTTTTAAAAAACTGCTCAGGCTCACATACAGATTTACAGACCATCATAGTTGAGTTTGCATAGTACACAATGGAAGATGAGACCTTTAGAATAATGTGTGAATCCAGCTTGGATTTCACACAGACCTGTACATTGGAATTAATTAAAGATAACACTGAGACCAGAAAAGCAGTGTAGATACAACTAAAGACCAGTTGTGTCCCTAATACATCTTGATATTATAACATATTTTTCGTTGCTTCTTGGGTCAAAAGTAGAAGGTGTTACTTCTTCCCATCAAACATAGATTGGCTGAATTCCCAATAACACAGTGAATCACAAACTAGCCAATCTCATTGAGCCTAATATCTTGTGCAAACTTAGTCTGTTGATGGTTTAGGATGTCATGCACATCCAGAAAATAGGATTTGTTGAGCCCATGTAAATACGAGCAAGCCTGTTGGGCAAACACCCAGCCTGTAAAGTTTACTACCATAGGATATATCCCTAAATTTTCTGGGTTGACCTCTCAGCCAATCTATATTTTTACTCTTTGATATTAGAAGAATCCAGGTTTATTGTTAGTTTGTAACTGAGCGTGCTGGGCAAAACCTAGGCTGCAATGTTAATTGAGTAAGCTTTGTTAATTCTGGGGGAAGGAGGTCCCATTCAAGGCAGAGCCAAAAAGAATTCTCCCACCCTTTTTGGTTCCCTTGGTTGGGATGCTGCACAGCCACAAGGTTGGAGCTGATGCCTATGGCTCCAGTGAGCTGAATGAGTCAGAAGATCCCCAAGCAACCAGGGTTGGCTTTCCACATTTCAAAGTCAGGGGAAAACATGCCCATTGCTGCCTTCCAAAGAAAAATATTTCCTCCTGAGCCTTAAAGTGCCATGAACCAACTCACCTTCAGGTTACAACATCCAAGAACGCTGCAGAAATTCAGCCAAGATTAGACATCCATCCATCCATCCAGGCTAAATCTGTGTCCACCTGCCAGAAAGTCTTCCTCTGAAATTCTGGGGACCGACGTGGGAGGGGAAGAAGCAAGCCTGAAGCCAGGTCTCCACGGCTGACAACCAAGAGGCAACCGCTCACTCTGGACAGCTGCTGGTTGCCTGGATCGGGCTTGAATGAATGAGGCTGAGAAAAGGTCCCTTCCCTGGCAGGGTTTGCCAGCTGAGCTCCAGCCAAATTCCTTGTAAGGAAAGCTGCTGCTGTGTTTTTGGCCTGGGATGGACACGTTTTCCCATCAACAAGAAGGCAGGGCAGAAGCGGAGGCCTTCCCTGCTGGAGCGGGTGAGGGGAACGTCAAGGATGCCCAGAGACATGGGGGGAGGGGCGGGGAGAAAGCAGAAAAAGCGAAGGCACAATCCTGCTTCCTGGCTTCACCCTTCAAGTGTGTATGTGTGGGGGTGGGGGGGTGGGGAATGAGTTGCAAATCAATCCTGGGTCTCCTTTAGCTTGTCGGAGGATCTAAAGTCAACAGCTTAAAAAACGACTGAGCGACTGCCCCACTATGGGCAAGAGATGCGGGTTTCTCTCTGGGAAAGAGACTTTGGGCAAAGACCAGCACGATCCTGCTCTTGGGATAAATATAGGCACCCAGAAGCGTCTCTTTCAAGAGGCACTGCCGGCATCTTCAGACAATCGCAAGCGACCCGGACTGACCCCCCCTGGCTTGGCACCTCTCTAGTTTCACAGTATACCCCAGGCTAGATCTTTGATTTGTGACACCAGGGATGGATGCAGGATCTTGAATTGCGTATAACCCAGAACCCCCTCAAACACTGACAATCACAGGAAGAAACGTGGCATCTAAGAGGTTTCCCTACATCAGAGGTGGCATTCAAGCAGGTTCTGACCGGTTCTGGGGAACCGGTAGCGGAAATTTTGAGTAGTTTGGAGAACTGGGAAATCCCACCTCTGACTGGCCCCGCTCCCATCTCTTCTCTGCCTCCCATTGAGTCCCAGCTGATCGGCTGGGTCGTCTTTTGTTGCTCTGCACAGGAGAACGGAACTGGAAAGCAGGTTAGTGGGGTGAGGAGGGAATGGGGATTTTGCAATAACCTTCCCCTGCCACGCCCACCCAAGCCGCACCCACGGAACCGGTAGTGAAAACATTTAAATCCCACCACTGCCCTTAAGGTCTTAAAATGACCTAGATCCTGCACCAATGGAAGGTCTTGTCTAAAACATTTGACTACCATCTTTGATAGAACCAAGATTCATTTCTCGCCATTCTGGATAAGAGGTAGGATTCAGCCAACACACCAGTCTATTGTTCATTTAATTGTATTGTATTGGATGAACCATAATGTACTGGATTCACCTTAGACACTGAAACATAAATCATGGTGGAGAAACCACTACAGAGGATTAATTAACCTGTTAATTCACTCCCTAGCAAATGACATGATTGCTCAAAAATTGCATGAATCCATCCACTGTGTCTGTGGAGATTCCCAGTCAAAGGTTGTCTCATGGGTTCTTTTTTCAAGAGGCAACTGGACTTTGCTTGATTTTTTCCCCTTGAAGAGGTTTCACTTCTCATCCAAGAAGTTTCTTCGATTCTGACTTCATTTCAGTCAGAACTAAAGAAGATTCTTGGATGAAAAGCGAAATGTCTTCAAGGAAAAACAACCAAAGAAAGTCCAGTTGCCTCTTGAAAAATGCACCCGTGGGAGATCCACTATGCCGTTTCCTTGTTCTTTGCTTGGCTGTTTGTATGAACGTAGCCAGATGATCCTTTGAGATAATCCCTTGGTAGAACCCAAGGCAAAGACATGGAGTTTTTCCATGGAAAGTGCAGATGTTCAAAGGTAAATCCAATCCAGCGTGCTTCAGACCAGCTTGTATATTTTTTCCCTTCTGCCCCCTGGGTTGTTTAAAAATGACAAGCAGTTCTGTTGATCAATTAGAGAAATCTTTCTGTTGAGAATGATTAAAACCCTAATAACCTAATCTAGTACTTTTGAGATGTGTTAACTGCCTAGAATTCCCAGGCTAAGAATAGTAGACTTATGACAAGACTTTGAGTAAGTTTACTAACTATAAGTCCTATTTATTACTGTAGGATTTATGGCATGCTTTTCCGGTAATGATGTTGGTTCTTTAATGGCATTTGTTATATTCACAATGGGTAGGGGGAGGACAAATGTTACAGAAAGGGGCTATGAGTGAAACTCCGAACTTTCTTCTAGATAAAAAAATATGTTAAAGACTCTTGCATTACTTTGGAGCTCGGCAGCTTTCTGCACACATACCAACGCACAGGCAAATATCAAACGTTAGAAGTTCAAGTCAGGCTAGCAGGAAGTTTTTCCTGTGCATGATAATACTGGGTTCTGGTTTATGCTTTTTTATCCCCTACATACATCAATGCGACAGATGAAAGTGCCCTCAAAAATTCAGCTCAAGATCGTTCCAGGAGGCACAAGAGCCAAACAAGAAATATTGCAGCCAAATTTGTAGGGTAGACTTTTTAAAAGTTAAAAAGAAGGAAGGAAGGGAGGGAGGAAGGAAGGAAGGAAGGAAGGAAGGAAGGAAGGAAGGAAGGAAGGAAGGAAGGAAGGAAGGAAGGAAGGAAGGGGAAGGGAAGGGAAGGGAAGGGAAGGGAGGGGAAGGGAAGGGAAGGGAAGGGAAGGCAGGCAGGTAGGCAGGAAGGGAGGGAGAGAGGAAGAAAAGAAGGAAGGAAGGAAGGAAGGAAGGAGGGAGGGAGGGAGGAAAGGGGACAGGGAAAAAGGAATGAGGGGGGAAGAAGGAAGGGGAAGAGGGAGAAAGGAAGGAGGGAAGGGAGGGAGGGAGAAACGAAGGGAGAAAGGAATGGAGAGAGAAAGGAACGGAGGGAGGGAGGAAGGAAGGAAGATTCTATTTGGACGTAGCTACTGCATGCATGTGCGCGTGCGCACACGCGCGCGCACACACACACACACACACACACACAAACCGTAATAAAGGAGCAAGGAAATTCAGTGGGTTTCAGAGGAAACAAGTTACGTGGACTCAGATCCAAATGGAAAATGAGATGAGGGAAAATTACAGATCTTCACTGTGCTGCATTTTGCTTTTCGTAAACCTGGGTTCTGGCAAATGTCCTTCCTTCTAAACAGGAGGCCAAACATCGGGAGATTGACATGAGCCCGTGATCAGGTTGCAACCATAAAACTTTCTCGCATGAAAGAGATGAAGCAGAAAACACTTTATCTTTTCCACGGAATGAGAATTTGGGAAAAGATGGGGGGAAACAGTGTACTGGGTGGGGGGATGGCAAACTGGAGCACAGTTGGTTCATTTGCACCCTCAGCATAATCTGGAGAGAGCGAATGGGCAGGAATTTTCCAGTTCTGGTCCCTTGGTTTTCTTTCGTCCTTAAGCCAAGATTCTTCACTTGCAAAATGGATCGTGGCAGAAGAGGCTGAAAGACAGCTGGTTCACCGAGGTCAGCCCTAGCCTTTGGGTGTTGGTTTTGTGCTAGCTTGCACTTCCTAAAGATCAAGGTGAAACCAGGCTCAATAGCAGGAACTGTAAGAGGGATCTTTGAATCTTAGTGGACAACCAGCTAAATAGGAGCCAGCAGTGTGCAGCAGCAGTCAAAAAAAATCAATGCAATCCTAAGTTGCATTAACAGAGGGATACAGTCGAGATCAAGGGAGGTACTAATATCACTCTATAAAGCCTTAGTAAGACCACACCTAGAGTACTGCATCCAGTTTTGGTCACCACACTATAAAAAAGATGTTGAGACTCTAGAAAGAGTGCAGAGAAGAGCAATCAGGATGATGAGGGGACTGGAGGCTAAAACATACGAAGAATGGTTGCAGGAACTGGGCTTGTCTAGTCTAGTGAAGAGAAGGACCAGGGGAGACAGGGTATCAGCCTTCCAATATCTGAGAGGCTGCCACAGAGAGGAGGAAGGGGGTCAAGCTATTTTCCAAGGCACCCTAAGGCCAGACAAGGAATAATGGATGGAAACTGATCAAGGAGAGACTCAACCTAGAAATAAGGAGGAATTTTCTGATAGTGAGAACAATCAACCAATGGAACAGAAGTTGCCTTCAGAAGTTGTGGGAGCTTCATCACTGGAAGCTTTCAAGAAGAAACTGAACTGCCATCTGTCAGAAATGGTGTAGGGTCTCCTGCTTGTGGGGAGGGGGGGTTGGACTAGATGACCTACAAGGTCCTTTCCAATTCTGTTAATCTGTTAAAAAGTTCAAGGGTTCAGTCAGTAGAGGCATTTGGTCTAGAGATCACTGCTTTTGTAGTTTGGAAACCTTTGTTTCAGTAAATGCCAGCCCTGCAAGATAGACAGACTAAAAAAACCAATGCAGGTCTAATATTATGCAAGAACCACCGTAACAGAGAAGTTATGTTGGGATGAATTAGTGGTAAAAGGAAACCACCAGGCCACCAAAGAACACGGTGGCTGGAGACCATCAAAGGGGACACCTGCCAGAGCAAAGAAGTATGTCCCAAAGGTGCTTTTTCAGGAGGCAACTGGACTTTGTTGATGTTTTTTTTTTTGAAGATGTTTCATTTCTCATCTGAGAAGCTTCTTCAGTGCTGAAGACGCTTCTGGAGTGAGAAGTGAACCATTTTCAAAAGAAACATCAACAAAGTCCAGTTGCCTCCTGAAAAAGCACCTTTGGGACAACCATGACCTGGATGACGGAGAACCTCTACAGACTCAAAGAAGGAGTGCAAAATTGGAAGATGTGGAGTGACCTGCCCCACACAATTGCCAAGAGCCGGACATGACTGAATGGATATCATCGTCCTCATCCTCACAACAACAGAACATTGCAATTCTGAAATCTGCTTCTCCACTCCTCCCTCCCTTTATCATTGTGTGAACTGTGAACAGCCTGAGATGAGTCTTCTCAAATTATATTTACTTGGCCCAGGCATCACTCCAGCATTGTTTATCTGACCACTGCCTTGGTAGCAGCTCTTCTTCCTGACCCTGCAGAAGACAAAGTCATTCCCTTGTCTTCTACAAGGGCCTCTACAGGATGTTGGGAGGGGGGAAAGATCAGGATGAGCCCTGATGGTGCAACCAAGTTGTGTATGAAATACATAAAGAAGAAGAGCTTCGGCTGAGCTATTTTGTGGCTGTCGTCTTGACTATTTTTCAGCCCTAACCTGGTCTTGCTCAACTGCTAACAGCTAATATTTTTTAAAAAAATCAGCTCTGGAGAATAAGCCTCTATGAAACCGATTGCAAAATCCTTGCAATCTTTGGTATTCCTGAATCTTCTGCTATTAGTGGGAATCCAGGTTCACTTAGCCCTTGATTCAATCCTAGATTCCTCTGGCCCAATGTGGCAACTTTAAGATGGATGGACTTCGACTCCTCTTAATGGCTGACTGGGGAATTCTGGGAGTTGAAGTCCATCCTTCTTAGCTGCCAACTTGGGAAACACTGCCCTATACAGTTCTTGAAGAACCTCCCTTCCAACGGCAAAGCCCTACAAGAGAAGGTCTCGCGTCATGTGGGAATTCCTTCCCCTCAAGGCTGAGGTGCAGCCCCCACTGATCTTCAAAAACTGTAATCGAATTTGCAACTTTTGATCTGAAAGAGAGAAGAGATAATTAAATATGTGGCCGGATAGGAAAAGAAATGTAAGTTGACCTTAGCTAGGACATAAACCAACTGAAATCAGATGTAGTATTTGTCCTGTCCTCATCAAACACTGCCTGCCTTGTCAGAGTGTGACCTCTGGCATTGCACGCACAAGCCAAGTGTCCTTGTACCCCAGAGGAAATGGGGCACCCCCATTCTAGAGGCAACGAGGGCCATTGTACTCAGGGCCGCAATCACCTTGCACTGAAAGTCACCTTTGAAGATCTGTCTAGTAGTCCAAAGAGGGCATTGTTTTGTTTTGTTCCAGCTGCTTCCCTTTGCACAGAACCGAAGAAATGCTTCTGCTATCAGCTTGCAAATTGCATTGGAAGGATCTGATCCTGCTCATGTTGCTGGCTCCTCTGGTCACATGGAGACCAGTTATCTTTAGAAGGAAGTATTTATATATAGAGCGGGCAAGCATACCTTAGCTGTTCGAGCCAACACCGGAGGTTAGAAGTTAACAGGGAGCACTGCTTTGTCCCCGGCAACACACCGGGGTGGATGGACTAGGGAGAAAGTGATCCTGGCTAAGGATACGGGGCTATGCAGTCACCGCTCGTGGATCACGTCCGGATCCAGGTGGAAGACACCTTCTTCTCGGTGGACAAGGCTCTTCTGGTGGAACACAGTGAATATTTCCGTGCTCTCTTCCAGTCCGGCATGAAAGAGAGTACTCAGGAGGAGATCCGGATCAGGAGCCTGAGTGCCACTGGATTTTGCATCCTGTTAAAAGTCCTGGAAGGGGACTGTCCTCTGCTGAGCTGTGAGGAAAACCTCAAGGTGGTGGAATGCGCCTCCTTCTTGCAGGTGAAAGCCCTGGCCAAGTATCTGATTGCATCCATCAATTCTGACAACTGCATTATTCTTTACCAAGCTGCGGCAATGTTTGGTCTTCTGGATCTGTTCCACAGAGCTGCCCTCTACATCAGAGATAGTTACTCCGAACTGGAGGAATACCTGGACTGCCTTTCTCCAGACCTTTTGGATTATGTAGAGTCTCTTCTCCCGAGTAGCTTTGTGGCTGTGGGGGCTCACACACCCACCTTTGAGTTCTTGGAGGATGTCTCACGCTCCGTTTGCTACCTGGACGAGGAAACCAACACCTGGAGGACTCTTTCTTACTTGCCACTCACTGCCAGCACCTTTCTAGCTGGCATGACAACCCTGGATAACAAAATTTACATTGTGGGAGGGGTCTATGGGTACAACAAGCAGATTGTGGACCAAAGCTTTTGCTACGATCCAGTAACCAACATCTGGAGTGAATTTTCCAGCCCTCAGCAACTTCGGTACGATATCACCTTGACAGCCCTGGAAGATACACTTTATGCCATTGGTGGTGAATTTGAGAAGACACCGTTGAAATCAGTAGAAAAATTCAACCTGTCTACCAACAAGTGGGACTTCCTGTCGGATTTGCCTCAACCAGCAGCGGCTGTACCGTGTGCCCAAGCCATGGGACGGATCTTTGTTTGTTTGTGGAAGCCTCTCGACACCACAATCATCTATGAGTACCTGCCCCAGAAGGATGAATGGCTTCCCATCTCGACCCTGACTCGGCCTCAGAGTTATGGCCACTGTATGGTGTCTCATAGAGACAATCTCTACATCATGCGCAATGGGCCTTTCGATGACTTCCTGCGATGCATGGTAGACCGCTTCAATCTCACGACAATGCAATGGACCTCTTTACCTGGCCAGTACATGAACAGCAAAGGAGCGCTCTTCACCGCCGTCGTCAAGGGGGACACAATTTATACGGTCAACAAGATGTTGACCTTACTGTACACCATAGAGGACAGCACATGGAAGTTCAAAAAGGAGAAAGCTGGCTTCCCAAGAAGTGGGTCTTTGCAAACTTTTCTTCTCAGGTTTCCGAAAACAGATCACAGTATTGCAACGTAAACATGGCAACTCCTTGGATTATTCGGTGGTGGCCATGTGACATCACATCTGGACTTTCCTGGATAATCCGCTTTTCAATTGTTCCAGACTTCCTGTGATCTAACAGTTATGAGATCGTGATGGTTCATGCAAAGTGAAGAAGGTCTCAAAAAGGTGCTTGGGGCAAGCTTCAGCCAATCCACCATGAACCGTGGTCTTATCTTCTAGGTCCTGTAGATGGTTTTGAGGCTTTATGAATGGTGAGCAATGAACTTTCCATCTACCCATTTGTGGCAACAAGATTATTCTGATCAACCAGGCCTTGGTAGAGGTAGTAGATGGTACTGACCTATAAGCAGAAAAGGCCACTAATCCATCAGAGATCTAGGACATTTGGGATAAGGTCTCCTGAAATTTTGGCCAGGTTTGTTTAGTCCAATCACCTGGTAAACAGAAGCTGGCTATCACCAACTGGGTTCAGGAAACGTATTTAATTTGCTTGTTAAATTCATCCCTTTTTCAGGTATGCATAATAATGAGTCATAAGTTAAACAAATAGGCTGGGATTTGCACCTCTCACTAAGCCACAAAAATGAAGTGAAAATTAGCCAACTTTAACTTGTCTGGAGATGCAGTTCTCTTTTCCTCATTAATTATATGTCCTATCTGAATTTGATGCATTTTTGGGCTTATAAGGCAATAGCCAGGTTCAATGCTACACTACGATAGGGTACTGAGAACACTCTGAACTGGTAACTACTGGTCTCCATTTAGCATGCGGTGCAAAACCCAGTGGAGATGTTGCATAGAAAATGCCTCAGGATAAATCACACTCGCAGTGCAACTACCTCTTACTGAACCTTTCTGGGGACTTAAGAAACATTTTCAGATGCTGTCAACGATGCTAGGGGGTTGATCTTGAGACTTTTGCCTGCCCAAAATACATTCTACCCCTGAAGGACACCGAGTGAGGCCTCTACCTTGTTAAATAGGTTTTACAGAGAAGTCTTTCTTCCTAGATAGGTTAAACCTCTCTTGATATGTTCTCCAAATGGAAAGATGAAAGTCCTTAAGTAGGAGAGAAAGTGCCTTCTGCAGACCACAGATCCATCCGTCTCAGTAGAGGAAACAGCTGTTTTTCAGTCACGGGCAGGAAACTTTCCCGACATTTACCTGTGGGGTTGAACCTGTGACCTTCTCTATAACCTTTGCATCTGCTGAAAAGTGAGATGGATTAACTGCCTTGGGTTCTCACCACTGAATCACACCAACATTAACATCCTGCTTTCAGAGCTCAGGCATTTCAACCGGAGCACAGAAAATGTAAAATGTGAATTAAATAAAAATAAAAGTGTTCCAGGAAGAAACCGGCTAAACTTTAACGAACGTTAAGCTGGTTTTACTCCATTTGAATGCAGACTTGGACTTCAGTTCAATGCAAAGTATTTAAGTCTCATTGCTTCAGAGGAAAACACTTGCCGTTCCATGGAGCTGAGAGGCTCTTGCCAAGTTTGTTCCTTCAGCTAGCAACCCGTTTCCTGTGGTGATATAAACAAGTTCTGTGTATGTGTTTATAGAATTTATATTCTCAGCAATTAAAGCTGGGACAGGCTATAAATAGACCCCTGGTGGGGGATTAATGGCTTCAAAATAAGTAAGAGATTGAGCCAATTTAGAGATGAATTTTTAACAGGGTTTATTCTTTTTGCACTAAACGGTTTTGTTCAATCCAGATGGTCTTGTTTAAAAGAACGTAGCTAATTCCATCAGCTTCTAATGCAAGGCCCAAACTGGAATCGTAGGCTAATCAGAGATAAGAGGGATCCGATCATAGCACGAAACGCTTCCATGGGAATCCTTTAAGCCAGACTTGCAATAGGACTAGGTGTCTAGCCAATCGAAGAGAAGGATTCGGGGGAAGGGGGGAGCGCGACATGCCTTCCAGCACTTGAGCAGCTGTCACAAAGAAGAGAGGGTTGACTTATTCTCCAAAACTCCAGAAGGCAGGACAAGAAGTTGTGGGTGGAAACTTGTTAAAAGACAAGTCCAGTCTAGAAGTAAGGAGACATTTTCTGACAGTGAGAACAAGGGAATAGCTTGTGTGCGCTCCATCACTGGAGGTTATCGAGAATAGACTTGTAAACAAATAGGTAACCATTTGACCAAGATGCTGTAAGGTCTCCTGCCTTGAGAAGGGGGTTGGACTAGAAGACCTCTGAGGCCCCTTCTAGCTCTCTGATTCTAAATACCAAAGAGTGAACACGGCCCAAGAAACTGGACAATATCGCAATGCTGTTGAATGATCAGGATCCCAAGTCTCCTTATCGGTGAGATAGGTGGCATATAAATTTAATAAATAAGATAAATAAAAGCATCCCACTTCACCTACAGTGGTGGAATAATTAATATCACAAGGAGGTTGTAAGAACCACGTCTGGTGCTTTCATCGCTGGAGGTTTTTAAAGACGCTGGGCAGCCATTGGTCTGAAATTGTATAGGGTCTCCTACTGGAACTGGGGTTTGGACTAGAAGACCTAGAACAGTTTTTACAGGAAGAAACTTTTTTGGCACCGAGTGCTGAAACGGGAGCGCATGCACGAGGGAGTGCCAGAAACCAGAAGAGCAACTCCCCGGCGCACGCACACATATGCACCCGAACCTGGAAGAGCAACGGGCAAGAGCCGGCGTGCCTAGAGAGATGACTCGGAATGCCACTTCTGGCACGCGTGCCGTATGATTGCCATCACGGACCTACAGGGTCCCTTCCAGCTCCCTTCTGATTGGTCCTTCCAGGAAATATTACTACTGTACTTACCTTAACTTATTCCTTACTTGTTTTATGTTATTGTTTTAAAATGTTAAAGTGTCAGCTTAAAATGTTTGATGATGATGATGGCGACGATGTCATGGGAACATAAAGTGGAAAAAGTTATCAATGGGAAGTTGAAAATCTTTTGAATACAACTTTTGAGTACAGACGGATCATCATTTGGAAGACAACACGCCAGATATCACAGTTGTCGAAAACCGAAACGTACCATTTATTGATATTGCGGTACCAGGAGACACCAGAGTCGAAGAAAAAGAATACCTTTTTCTTTGCAAAAAAGAATCACAAAATATCGCGACCTGGCCATCAAAACTATGCGATTATGGGCGAAACATGTAACATGATATCCATTGTCATTGGGGCACTTGGTACTAGGTCCAAGAATTTTATAAAATGCATCAAGAAATTGCAGCTCCCTGTAATAACACCAGTGGAACTGCGCTACTCGGAACATCATACATTTTAAGAAGATACTTGGTTGATACCTACGACGCTGGCAGCAACCCGTATCAACCATCAGTGCCACTTAATGGTGTTTGTGGTGGGTTTTTGAATGTTCAGTTGAGTGAGTTTCATGTTTAATGAATAAAGTATATAATAACAACAACAACAACCTGTATCAACCATTAGCACCAGTCAATGGTATTTGTGATACATTTTTAAATGTTCAGTTGACTGAGTTTCATGTTTAATGAATAAAAGAGACAATAATAATAAACAAAGCCTTTCAGGCACCATAGGAACCAACTAGAATCAAGTCATTCATGCTGGCTTGTACATCCCCATGTTTATCCAGGGATGGTTCAATAACAAGAAGCTTTTAAAAAAAAAAGAGATTAGAACAAATCACAAAGATAAACTTTCCGAATGGTGATTAAAGAGAATCGTAAGGTTTGAGAGAGTGCAATATTTACAGACTCGGGAGGGGAGAGGAAGGGAGGGGAGGGGAGGATGCTGGGCCGCTTTCATTGGCTTTGTGTCATGAGCTCCTCCAGGGCCCTGTCTCGGTGGTTTTCACACAACAGGAGGACTTCTTTGATGTCAGCTTGTCGGAAGCCCATGTCGTTGAATTGGGCTAAGAGGCGAAGGAATTCTAACGCCTGCAGTGGGAAGGAAGAACAGGAGCCGTGAGACCATTGTGGGAATGCTGAGTGCATTTCCACGAGTGCTCTGATCCCCCCCTATAAGAAAGAAACCCAGTTTTATAAAGTCATGAGGACTAGAGCCTTCAGAATTCTGAACAAGAGAATATGACACAAGAGGCTGTATCTCGCACCAAGAATACCAATCTGCATTGGAAAGCCCAGTTGCTAAATGACAATCAGGGTTTGTCTTTTTTGAGCAGGGAACTGATCCGTAACATCAGTGAGCCATCAATAAGCAAACATGGAAAAGCGTAAGCCGCATCACGGCTAAAAGGAAGAGATGCTGGCAACTGGCTTGCAGCAAGTTGGGTTGTGTTTTCCCTCCCCCCACTTCCAACTTCCTGCTTTCAACTTGGGGAAATCTCCAGATTGTTAGTTCTCTCTAATCACCTGCAGCCTCCTTGGCTTCATTACATTTGGAAGGAATTGTCCTGTGGTACCTTCCGCACGTTGAAAAGTGTGGGCAGCCAGGGAGGCTGCGGAATGACGGAGAGAAGAAAGATAACAAAAACACCCATCCGAGACTTCCTAATAATAATATCTTTAGATGTTTATGGAGATACTCGATCGTCCAGGTCATGGCTGTCTCAAATGTGTTTTTTCCAAAAAGCCAAGTGGACTTTCTGAGGTTGAAATGTTGAAAACATTTCACTTCTCATCCAAGAAGCTTCTTGAATGAGAAGCAAAACATTTTTAAAGTAAAAGAAAAAAAGCAAGAAAGTCCACTTAGCTTTCGATCTTCATAGAGTGACACTGAAAGCCTTTTGCCGATGGGCTAAAAAAAATTGTTCCAACCTTACGTCAAAGGCCATTTCTTCTAAAATTTTTGATTATGAATTCTTCCCAACTGTAGTCAGGTTGATTTTCTTGCATGTTCAAAGTTAATTGTGTTCTGTTTTTCTTTCCTTGCTTTTTAGTTTTGTTTTGTCATCACTTTTATTGTGAGCCATTTTGGACTTATCATTGTCAGAACAGAATTAAAAACTATGTAGATCCTTCCTTCCTTCCTTCCTTCCTTCCTTCCTTCCTTCCTTCCTTCCTTCCTTCC